AGTGGTAGATGCTGCACTAGTAGCCGAAAATGTGGAGCCTATGAAGGGTAAAGGTTTGCGTGAGAAATTCTTAGGGTATTTTTGCTTCAGGACAATTTGATATAGCTAAATCTTAATTTTAGAGCCTAAGTGACTAATAACGGGCTAGACACCTTCGCTTACGCTTCTTGTACATTACTTGAGGGATGATATAAACAAGTCCACAAATAGCACCAGTGGAGTCTATTGAGGTACTATCCGAATCCAGCAAAGGTCAAATGGGAGCAATGTATATAAATAAATGTTCCTTCTTTCTTTACATTGCCCCTGTACTTAAGGTGTCTTACTTGTGATTCTCTCTCCATGGCCCACACTGTCTTTAACATGTTGCTCGAGCAACAGGCAGCTTTTCTGCTTCGCTTAACTTGTTTAAAAACAGATACAAAAAAAAAAAAGACCGGATCTCCACGCGGTGAATAATGTTGATTGGGGCGAAGCCTTGGTGGTGCTGATGATATTGATTTTATTGTTCAGATGTAGTGCTGATGGTGCTGAATTTTTATATTGTTTATAGGTAGTGCTGAGTTCCGGTTTGCGTTTTGACTTCATTATTACTGCTTTATGATCGGTGAAATGCAGAGCCAGTGGTTTTTCTAGCGGATCAGCTTGGATCCGCTAGAAGCCGTGGTAACGCATCTCCACCACCTAAGTCAACGGTCCATGTCAGAAAAGAATGTGTGGTATGGAACGTGGTTATATACGCATTTGAGCATCTGACCGCAGCGCCCTCTCGTCTGTAAACGTTGAACAAATGCATGCCAAGTATAACGCGATTTTATGCGCATTTGACCGCAGCGTCCTCTTCTGTATAGACGTTGAGCGGCTACATGCAACGTTTCATCCATGACATCCCCAGCTCTTGAGTTACTACCACATCTCAGAGCCCCTACTCGTCCCGCAGTCGTGGCCGAGTGGTTGAGGCGATGCACTAGAAATCCATTGGGGTCTCCCTGCAAAGGTTCGAATCCTGTCGACTGCGGAAACATTTTTTCCTTTTATTTGAGTACGGACGCCGGCCGGCCGGCCGGACGGATGGACGGAGAAGGCTAGACCCTAAGGAGCTTCGCCCCTAAAATACTATACATAACCTGCCAATTCATTAGGACCATCAGCAGCATCTACTGTGTGAGATGTAAATCTATAGTGATGCTCCTGCATTTGTGGGCGTATTTCTTTATTTTCATATACCAGCTGCGATTCATGCGTTACCTGCCTTGTCAACCATGCCTGAAATGTTGGTTGAAGTTTCGCGTGTAGAAACAGGCCAACCCTCAATAAAGCCACATAAAAAAATTAGTCATCTGAAAAACACACCCCAAAATAATTAAATAGAAACGAGCGCGCCGACAGCTGATGTCGTCACAGCCTCCACAGGGCGAGCGGGTCGAGTCGGGGAAAAATTCTGTCCTCGCCGCGACGTTACCCCGGTTCGCCGTAAGGGGGCGCCACGCGAAGTTCTCGGGCTAGGTGGCGTAAGCTACCGCCCGATCCAAAGGGCTCAGCCGTATTCATCCATCCATCCATCCATCCGGGCTAATAGAAGCCTTCGCCATTTGTCAATCCAAGGACAACATCGGTTCCCCCTCCATCGCCCTTTCGGGGAAAGAGATAAGATTTCTTAGTTCAGAGCTTTCTCCCCACCCCCTCCTCCCCCACGTTCCCGACAGCGACGTACCCTTGACGGAATAGTGCTCCTTCTTTATATCTTCTTTCACCCCCTCCCTTTTCATGTATAGACCGTTTTACTGAAACAGGGCGAGAGAGAAAAGGGGAAAGGGCTACCGGCGCTTTCCCCCTTTCTGATTGTGTAGAAAGAGTGAAAGTCCCGGATGAGAGGCTTCGCCGGTGTTGGGTGTCTGCTGTGCCCGAACTTCGTTCGCGCTTTCTTTCCTGTTTTAAACTCGCAGACTTAATTAGAGCCAGAGGCTTCGATGGCAACAGTCCCCCGGTCATCGGGACACCATTGCTGGTTCATAGGGTGCAGGAATAAAAAGAGAAAGCATAGAATACTGTCTGAGGACCTATGTAGCTTGCAAGGAACCCGGCAAGGCGAGAGCGGCTGCAGTGTCTTTGAGCTCCATCGCTTTCCACATGACCCTTGTCTCCGGCGGCAGTGGATTGCGTCCGTAAACCGAAAAGGCGTTTCCTCAACGCCATCCTCTCGACTTCGCTCGGAACATTTCGTAAATGGAGCGCGCACCGAACGCTGTACCGCCGATGAACATGGGGTACGCTCGCAATGTGCGTGCAAGTTTTCTCATGATAACTGCTGTTTCAGCTTGTAAAATTTCGTAACTGAATTTATCTTAATGGTGATAATTTGCAGTGCTGACTGACTCGATTTTATCATCTACAGCACTTAGTTGAAGGCTCATTTCCGCCGCCGAGTGAGGCTGAAAATTGTTGAAAACGTAGTTCTATTGTTCGTTTGTTTTTTAATCGAGATCTCCTGCGCAATAGCAGAGAGCCGGCAAAAGCGCTCCTTGAAGTGACGCTGGTGGGTTGTTTCCGTTGACTAAGGCGCTTTGAGGCGCTTGATAGTCGCTGCAGGAACGTCTCGTGTGTTGCGATCTGCATTTTCGAGCCCAGTGTGCACGTTTCTTTGTTTGAGTCATGGCATCCGCCAGTGTGGCGACGGGGGGAACAGCGGCAGCGAACGTGCCAGCGATTGAAATTGGAGGTGAGTACTCAAAACATTGCATCAAATAGTAAAATAATTCGTGGCTGCTTCGAGGCTTTCTGCGGTTCGATAAAAGTACATCTAGAGCGTCTTCGTCGTTCATTCACAAGGAGATATAAGAACAGGGACACGAGGATAAAAACAGCACAGCAAGACGATATGTCGCAGCTCCGGGCGTTTACAAAGTTAATTGAGGTTCCCGTTTCGTGGATCGCTTGTAGATTACAACTAAAAGCGGCTACGTTGATATAGGCCCATTGCAAGCAAAAATGTACAAATGGTTCATCATTTCCAGTCATGCGGAAAGCAATGGAGCTTAAAAACATTCCAGCCGTACTTGCCTTGCCGGATTCCATGCAAGCTACATAGGTCCTCGGACAGTATTCGACGCTTTCTGTCGTTATTCGTGCACCCAATAACCGAGCAATGGTGTCCCCATGACCGGGGGACTGTCGCCATCGAAGTCCATGGCTCTAATTAAGTTTGGGAGTTTGAAACGTAGAAGAAAGCGCGAACGAAGTTGGGGCACTGCAGACACCCAACACCGGCCATGCCTCTCATCCGGGACTTCCACTCCTTCTACACAATCAGAAAGGGGAAAAGCACCGGTAGCCTTTTCCCCTTTCCTCTCTCGCTCTCAAAATGGCGCTACCCATGATAAAACGGTCTATATAAGCAAACTCTTGCTGTCAAGAAATGTTGTTGCCAGTTGAAAGTTTGTGTTTTGTCCGTCCTTCTCGTTTTCTTTCTCAAGTTTAATTATCCCTACCAACCGGCTCCCTTTGTCCTTAAACCAAGTTACTTGCTTGATCTAGCCTTTATCTGACACTCGTTATGCGGCACGTTCTTTTGCTCAGTAGATGTCTTTTCTCATATGACTAGACTAGTATACAGGGGGCAGATTACTTGAATATGTTTTGATTATAAATGTTGACTACTGATAAAGCTTGGGCACAAGAATGCAGAACTACAAAAACGTACCAGCCTGATATTATATAGGGTGCAACGTCCGCAATACTTTCATTAAGTGGGCACCCAAAAATTAAAAAAAGCTTGATTTAGGAAGTATATCCATAGCGGCGGACACCAGGCAAAGAGTGTAAAGTGGCAATTAGCCTACTAATTACGTACAACTCACTAACTACATTTGGAAATATTTGCCTGACCTCTCACATTGGAGTTATAAATTTGTTGCCCGTCCTCCAAATATGTCATACCTGTTTTTATTAGAATTCGTACAACTAAACTCTGCTCCGTGCTTTTCTATGACGAGGTTAGGATGCCTGAAGTAAATTGGAATGAGCTGGCTCGTCGTAACGCCTGCCCAAGCGGAAAAAAAATCGCGCATGCGGCGCCACTGTCGCGATATGCCGCTGAGAGCGAAACTGGAACGGACTGCCACGATGTCATGCATGTGAGAGGTTTGTAGAAGTGATAAGTTGCGCATCTACTGTAAACTAGACGCCTCTCGTTGCGTGGCCGGCTGCTGGTTTTGATGTATCATCACGCCATTCATGTATATGCTTAGAGCAAAGCTCTTTACCGCCCGTTTACAGCTTGAGTGGCGTCGCCGTTGGCGTAACCGCGCGTTGCATTATGGGACGTTTCCAATAACAACGTACCGCGTGACGTCACGTGTGATGTCAGGAGGGTCGCATGTGACGTCACAATGGTTACGAGTGACGTCACGGGTGACGTCATGAGGGCCACGAGTGATTTCCCGAGGTTCACGTGTGATGTCACAAGGGACACGTGTGACGTCACGAGTGACGTCACGATGAAGGAGGAGGAGATGAGGAGGAGAAGAGAAGGAGGCGCAGGAGGGAAGAGGACGAGGGGAGGAGGAGAGGAAGAAGATGGGAGGAGGATGAGAGGAGGTGGATGGGGGAGATGCCAGCTACCCTTTGTGCAGGCAAGTGCTATCACCATTCATAAATCACCGGGAGGCACGTATGCAAACGTGGTGTATATATCGTGTTTGCTGTGTCACGAGACACGCGCCGAACTTGGTATCAGCGCTCACACTCTGTTATCGTGACGCACGCCCTGTAGCAACTTCATCCTTTCCCTCTTCTTTACCTTCTTTCCATAACACCCTACAAATACGATAACTGAATAAACAAACGTCTTCTTATTCTTTCCGGAACCGGCTCGTTCGTGTCGTCAATCGAAACATGGTGTCAGGAGTGGTCACACACGGACCCTGCCACTAATCACCTGCTGGCGCCCCAGGAGAACCGGCATGAAATTTTTGAAGCCACCGGAGCACCTGCGGCTGAGTGGTGACATTGGAAAAAACTGGCGCCACTTCAAACAGAAGTTTGAACTATTTGTGACTGCGTCAGCTCCAGGGGGAAAGCCGTTACTAGGACCCACGCAGGCCGCACTGCTACTAAGTGTAGCTGGCGACGAGGCCTTGGAAGTCTACAACAACTTCATCCTCAGTGAAGGTGAGAGCCAGCAGGATTATGCGACCATCATCAAAAAGTTCGACGAGTACTGCGCAGCGCAGTTGAACGAAGTGCACGAACGCTACCTGTTTCGCCAACGTGTGCAAGCCCAGGGTGAGCCGTCAGAACAGTTCATCAGAGACCTAAGAAAGGTGGCACAGTCATGCAACTTCAGCACCATGACGGACTCTATGGTACGCGACCAAATTGTTTTTGGAACGAACAACGACAAAGTCCGGGAAAAACTGCTGCGCGACAACAAGCTGACGTTGGCGAAAGCGGAACAAGTGTGCAAGGCGGCCGAGTTAGCGGACGCTCAAAACGAGCTTTGGGCACGCGAACGACAAGTTAGCGCAGTGAAGGCTACACCGAGCATCGAACCGCATGCAGCACAGGACTACGGCAGAGCGCAGGAGCGACACGTCGACTTTGCAAGGACGCGGTCGAGCAACGACGAGCCACCGGGGGGGTTCAAGTGCCGAAAGTGTGGTCGAAGACACGGCCCACGGAACTGCCCACCGTTCGGACGCACCTGTCGGAGATGCGGGGGGAAAAACCATTTCGCTTCACGCTGCAACAACAACAAGCAAGTCTCCGAAATCAAGAGCAACGAAGAAGATTTCGACATCCTCGACGTCTCGATCGACAGTGTCATGCGACAACGCGACTGGGTCGTCCAAGCACAAGTGGCGAACAAGGTGCTCGAACTCAAGGTGGACACAGGCGCTCAAGCCAATCTTCTGCCATACTGCATGTTCCGAAGATTGCAACCAAGGATGCAATTGAAGGCTAGCAACTCCGTGCTACGTTCCTACGACGGAGGGGTCATCAAGCACCTTGGAGTGGTGAAAACGAAAGCCACCATATGCAACAGGTCAGCTGACATTAACTTTTTTGTGGTAAAAAAAGGGACGCCAAGCCATACTAGGGCTTCACGCCAGTGAACTGCTGGGGCTGTTTAGACGGTCGGTCAACGCCGTGACGGCAAGCAGCAGCGATCAAGTGGTGAAAGAGTCCCATCAAATCTTCACCGGCACTGAGTGCCTTCAACGGCCATACAAGATGGTGCTGCGGGAGGACGCTGTTCCCGTCGTTCAGATGACCCGACGGGTGCCTCTCGCCTTGCAAGAGCCACTTCGACGAGAACTCGACCGGATGCTGAAGGCAGGCATCGTTGTCAAAGCAGAGGAACCGACGGACTGTGTGAGTCCCTTAGTGATTGTATTGAGAACAAAACCGGAGAACTAAGAGTGTGCATGGACCCGAGAAAAATCACTGAATGCTTGAAGCGCGAACACTACGAGATGCCGCGACGAGAAGACATCGAGGCGGAAATGGCGGGAGCTGTATTTTTCTCCCGTTTAGACGCTAACTCGGGTTTCCACCGAATTCCACTGGAGGACGAGACGTCCAGAATTTGCACATTCACGACTCCCTTCGGCCGTTTTCGATTTCTGAGACTGCCGTTCGGGATAGCGTCGGCCTCGGAAGTTTTCCAAAAGGCAATGAGTCAGATATTTGACGCGATAGCGGGGGTACGTGTTTATGTCGATGACATTTTGATATGGGCTGCCACAAGAGAGGAACACGATGCAAGACTGAGGGCTGTCCTGGAAGCAGCACGCACTGCAGGTCTCACATTCAACGCCGCAAAATGCGAAATTGGGGTGACAACAATTTCCTTTCTGGGTGACATAATATCCGAGGAGGGCATCCGGCCAAGTCCCGCCACCGTGAGCTCCGTGCATGACATACCAGCACCCACCGACAAGCTAGGAGTGCAGAGAATGCTAGGCGTTGTTAACTACTTCGGGAAATTGCTGCCAGCGCTTGCGGAAAAAACAACTGATGCGCCAGCTAATAAAGAAAGACTCGATGTTCGAGTGGAGCGAAAATCATGGAAAGGAGTGGAACGAGCTTTGCAAGTGCCTCAGCATGGAGCCTGTGTTGGTCATTTTCGACCCCAAAAAAGACGCCAAAGTAACATCGGATGCTTCTCAAAATGGCTTAGGGTCAGCACTTATGCAGCGCCACGGGGAAGCATGGAAACCAGTTGCTTATGCCTCACGCGTACTCACAGAGACACAAAGAAGATACTCGCAGATTGAAAAAGAAGCAATGGCGGCTGTATATGGATGCCAAAGATTCCACCACTTCGTGTATGGGCGAAAGGTGATTTTCGAAACCGATCACCGCCCGCTGATAGCAATCTCGCAAAAGGCAATTGGTGACGTGCCGCCGCGACTGCAGCGGTTTTTCCTTCGTTTGCTGAAATACGATTTCTACCTCCAGTTTATTCCAGGAAAACAGCTGGTGCTGGCGGACATGCTGTCACGAGCTCCAATCAGCAGGCCACAGAAGGACGAAACCAACGAGGACGTGGAAGTACATGCCATGAGTGTGGCGTCCTCACTCGTGAGTGAAGCGACTCGCGTACGGTTATCGCAAGAAACGAATAACGACAGTTTTTTGAAGAGCGTCATGGAATGTCTAAAAGCCAACCGTCCGGTAGAGGGACAGCTTAGGCCCTTCTCACAGGAACTATCAGTGGTGAACAATGTGTTGTTTAAAGGTTGCAAAGCGGTGATTCCAACCAGCATGCGTCCTGAGATACTGCGCAGAATACATGATGGGCACATGGGACTTAACAAGTGCAAATCACGAGCACACCGGGTCGTCTTTTGGCCTGGTCTTAATGCAGACATTGACGACCTTGTGAGCAAGTGCGAAGTTTGCAGAAAGTACGCTTACAAGAAACCTAGTGAGCCGCTCATGATACGCCCTGTTCCTGAGTACGCGTGGTACAGAATTGGTGTTGACATTTTTGAGTATGCCAGGAGGTCTTACCTGTGCGCGTACGACGCATTATCAAACTTCCCAGAAGTAGAATTGCTGCGCGACACATCATCCGCTACAGTCATCGATAAGCTAAGTGCGATGTTCGCAAGGTATGGCATCCCAATAGAAGTGTGTACCGATAGCGGGTCGCAGTTTACGAGCCGAGAATTTGCCAGTTTTGCAAAGAACTACGATTTCAAACACCATTTCCAGCCCTAGGTTTCCTCGCTCAAACGGCCTAGCGGAAAAGGGGGTGCAGGTGGTTAAAAGAATTCTTAAGAAAACGACCGAAGGAAAAAACGATTTCTGGCTTGGACTGCTCAGTTACAGGTCCAGTCCTTTGGAAGACGGCAGATCCCCAGAAGAGCTGCTTCAAGGTCGGCAATTGTGGACGCCAATACCAGACTTCAACGAAACACCACGCACAGTGGTAGAAAAGCATCATGAGACGCAGCTGAAGAGGAGCCATCTTTCAGCATTGCAAGAAGGACAAGTGGTCCGCATCAGGGGCGACACTTGGGCAACGAAGGCGAAGGTAATCAATAGGACCCCGCCCAGGTCTTATCAGGTCGCCACAGAAAAGGGCAACGTTTTACGACGTAATCACCAACATCTGCTAGCAACGAAAGAACAATTCAACCGTTCCGAAGAATACTCGTCGGATGAAGAAAACTCGAACGACGAGACACCGGAACAACGTCAACGACCCGCAGGCAGCGTGGCCACGACAGCACCAGTGCTGAGAAGGTCCACGCGCTATAGAAGACATCCAGAGCGGCTAGGCTACGGCGACAACTTTCTTCAAGGCTCATGACAAGTGTTCCCGCACCGAGTGTCAAGCTACTATGCCGTCGACATGCTGTACTTTTGTTTTTAATTCCTTTAAAGAAAGGAAGATGTATCGTGTTTGCTGTGTCACGAGGCACGCGCCGAACTTGGTTTCAGCGCTCACACTCTGTTATCGTGACGCACGCTCTGTAGCAACTTCATCCTTTCCCTCTTCTTTACCTGCTTTCCATAACACCTTACAAATACGATAACTGAATAAACAAACGTCTTCTTATTTTTTCCGGAACCGGCTCGTTCGTGTCGTCAATCGAAACAGTGTACTCGTTAGCTGAGTGGCCATCTACACATGGGTACTGGTCTCCGCTCAACCCATCGATCTCAGGGGCACGTCAGACGAAGTTGGTAAATTGTGCGCCGCCAAGGTCGACATGGCTTGCTCGTAGTAGCTCTGTATCTCTATACAACAACACTCACCAAATATTTCGTGCAAGACAAAGAGGGACTTTATACTAATCATGCAGGGAAACCTCCCATTTGCCTCGAGTGATGTGGACTCACTGTTCTGCTGTGCTATGTCGGGGGAGCACGCTCGAGACTAATGGCGAGGAACTAAAAACCGCCGACCAGTCCTTGACAGAGCCGAGAGCATGTAGAATCACATCGAGCGAATCACGTGCTTCGTCATAGAGTTGACTCTAACGCTGAGTCGTTCTCTGGCCTTGCTCCTGCTGTCCTGTCTTCTGGCACCGGCTGAACTTAGAGAAAGTGGAGCTTTCAGATGTGAGAGCTATAATTCCTTGCTCCGGATATGCAGTGATATATATATATATATATATATATATATATATATATATATATATATATATATATATATCAGGGTGTCGAACCGGAACCGAACCGGTATTTTTTCCGGAACTGAACCCGAACCCGAACCGTTATATTGTTATCGCGATGAACCCGAAGCGGAACTGAACCGGAAAAAAAATAACGGTTACCGGCTCATGTCAAAACGGTTCGGCCACGCGCTGTTGACAATGAATGTTCTATCAATGCCATTTGTTCTTTAAGTGCCGTCAACTGACACACACCTCGTTTACATATTTTTCTTCTCCACTCAGTCTTAGGAATATAAACGCTGCATCCATGAATCTTGACATAGGAACCAGTATTGCGCTGGTCGCGGATTGCACGGAAGAAAAAAAATTGAAAAGCTGTGCAAAAAAAAAAATCGCGTCACGGGATTTTATTTTTCTACGATCTCGTAAATCCTAAATGCTGCTGTGTGCTCATTTCATAACACGTTTCTAGAACGCGCGAGTTCTTGTAGCTTGCTTCCATCGGAATGAGAAAAGAAAAGGCTGTGGAGTTTGATAATAATGCATCCGGTTTCGTGTAGGCACTTAGAAGCTAACATATTTGTGAGACAGCGAACTCATCTATTTTAATATTTATCCTATTACGTCCTTCTGGCGTTGCGTTCGGTGAAGTGTTTTTCATATTTCGTATCTTGTTTAATGAAAACTTCTTTAAGGGTCTAATTTGAGTTACCGAAGGCTAGTTCAAATAAAGAAAGCTCTATTTTCTCCCCACTGTTCCTTCAATTGCTTACACGCCGAGGTGGCGGGATAGTTAGCGAGTTCTACTTGTAAGTGGGTTTGTAAGGAGGTCGCGGATTTTACAGCTACTGAGTCGGACCCAATTAGATGAAGTCCGAATGCGTAAACGTCGGTGAGTTAACCTTTGAGTGCATATAAAGAAACCATTCCTGGTAGAAATCCCTGAGCCTTACGCTACGATGTATCCCGTTTCGTATGTGCTGATTTCAGATGTTTTATTTGTAATTTATTTTAATGTTGCAATCTGTCATTTATAATTTCCGAACCGGTTCGCGAACCGGTTCAGCGCCCCGAACCGGTTCGCGAACCGGTTCGCGGATAGAATTAATCGAACCGGAACTGAACCGGAACAAAATAAATTTAGCTGAACCTGAACCGTAACCGAACCCGTATTTTTTTCGGTTCGACACACTGATATATATATATATATATATTGGAAACGTCGTCCGGGCTCCACGTTGTTCTGCTCAAACTGATCGTTTCTATTTCTAGCGCATCAGGAAGTTCACGCAGCAAGCTTAGAAAAAGAACAAAAATTGCTTTCACCTCTCGGAGTTTGCTCTGTTGAAACTTATTATATGGAAGTGGGCATCTCGACAAAGAGGAAGTAGAAGCGGGATCTCGAGAAAAAGAATGCTCTAGTTGGACGATGGAGGCCTGGCCATGAGCGGACAATCCCAATCATTCTTAATGTATATATCTGCGGATAAACGCTGTTTCTGGCCTCATCTGCCAACGACCAATCAGCCGTTTTTACAACATGGTGCAAACCCTAGGAGAAGCTATAACGAAACAGTGAGAACCTGACTCAATTCAACGAAAGGTCACAATAGCCAACGTAACAACGATCAACCGGCAACATGAACGAGGCATGTACCAACGCATCGGACCGCCAATGTATTATCACACTCAGTGATGCCGACATCGAACAGATTCTCCAACAAAGATCTGCTTTACGCACAAAGGTAACGAATCTCTTTGATTTTCTGAAGAAAGCAATGCCAGAAACAACGACAGTCACACAACTTAACGAAATCATCGCGCTATCAAACTATGAATATCAACTTAAATACCAGGACGATGCGGTGTGATCGTCGCGATGGAGGCTGAATTGTACTCAGCGGTGCGGTTCGCAAACATCGCCAGACGGTCTAGCGGCATGTCGTCCGCAGCTGCCAGAACCATACGTATTCCCTGTGGAAGTTTCTGGAGAAATAGCTCTCGCAGAATGGGGTCCTGGGAGCCGGAGGGACCGAGCAACCGCCGCATCTGGTGAAGATGAGATGGGCGGCAGTCTCAAAGCTCCTGGGCTGTGATCAGCTGCTGAATCCTCGTGCGTCCCGAGCTGCCGTCCGTTCAAGGAGGACGCCCTTCAGGTGGTCGTGATCGTCGTCAGGGGAAGGCCGGGAAAGAATGTCGTCGAGCTCGCCGGCGACGAGCGGAGGTAGCGAGGCGACGAAATGGTAGAACCGAAACAGCTCGGAGGTTATACGGTGGAGGTGAAAATTAGTCTCGACTTGCGTTATCCAAACTCGCGGATTTTTTGCCAAAAAAAGCGGAAGCCGGAGCTGGATGGCCTTGAGGGCAGAGGGAATGATGAGGCGCGCCGTCGCCGGCAGTAGCACTGTCTTGCGCGAGGTTCTGCATGCCGGCTGCGGTCGTGGTACGAGGCGGCGGGGGCCTACCGATTCCGGGTCTCCAGTTTGGGGAAAAGATGACAGAGCTCCACAGCGTTCTGGCTCGAACTGTTCGTTCTTATTTTCCGCGCATCGGGAAGCTCGCACAGCGGGCTTAGAAGAAAGAAAAATTGCCTCCATCTCTCGGAGCTGGCTCCTACATTGATTTTTACTCATTCAAACTATTCAACAATGTTTAGTTAAATATTGTCACGGGTAGTAACCAAAAACAATAAATAAACAAGAAGAAATAAACGTTTAATGTGGCGAACTTGTGCCAAAAAAATAAAGAAGGAAACAGAAGAAAGCAGAGCGTCGCGGGCGTCGAAGTCGGCGTGTCAGCAGAATCGAGCGCTAGGGCGAGACTGACTCGACAAGGTCGCGGGCGGCCTCTTATCTAGAGTGCGCCGCTATCTCGAAGATTCGGCGAAAGCGGTTCGAGCGTCGCGTGATCGGGGCGAGAATGAACACGCACTTTCTAGAAAACAAAAGCAGGGATAAATGATAGAAGTTACGTGCGGTACATGAATAAACGGGAACTTTCTGGAGGACCGTGACCGAGCGTTGCTTTCTCAGCCTTGCGCGCGGCAATATTGCACTTATGATGACAATTAGCCCAAAATAAAATAACCCCTGGTCGGATGACTTACTTGGTTATACTGCATTCGTGTAGCCTCCGTGGATTTTTTTTAGAAACAACGTAAAAATCCTAAAATATACACCATGTACACATCTAGTAAATGCAATAAATTTATATTGTTTCACACTCGGACGTGATCGAAAGGCCGCATAAACTAGAGTTTTATACATCGTTTCAACTTTAAAAAAAAAAAACCTAAAAAGGGAAAAAATATTTTTGAACAATTTGGCTTGGACACGCGTGTCAAAAAAATAGATTTTACGCGAAAAAAAATATTGGAGCAGTGTGAATGGTGAGAGGTTTATTTCAATTTCAGCACGCAAAGTCCATGACGTCACGGAATGGTCATTCGCTCTTTCCACCTCAGCCGGGAAGGTGAAGCCGATCCACCTCTCCTCCACGCGACCGAAATGCAGAGAGAGACAACAAGTGAAAAGGAGGTGACTACCGACTTAATCGCGTCTCGCGTCGTCAATATTGCTTTTTTGAGTAAACTTGACATTTGACACGCGTAGCCCTACCAAAAATATTTAAAAAAAAAATATTTCCACGTGTTTTTTTTTATGTTTAGACGCAGCCGACGCTACGAGGCAATGGGAACAATCAACCCAGGTAGCACACTTGCTTGGTTTAGCTGGGGCCAGGATTGGCATTTAGTTGTGATAGCTAGGCCACGACTGCCCAGCAATTTACGTCTGTATGCTAGCCTGGCGTTTCATAGTCATTCCTTGCTCCAGAAAGCCACGGAACTGCCAAGGAACGCTTTCCCTGGTTGACCAATCAATTTCCTTGGTCATTGATGGCAGTGTAAACAGGCCGCTGCCAGTATTCGATGTACCCTGGCTGTCTATTGGTTTTCCTCGGTCAGAGATGGCCAGGGCACCAAAGCTTCTGCCAAGCTTTCAGGTTGCGTGGTGGTTCGCAGGAATTCTCTGGTCCCCTCAACGCAAGCAACAGGCAATATTCGGGCACGTTGCCAGATCGAAGATAGAGTGAGCCAAGAAATGTCAGGGAATTGCCGCTATGCAATGTTCCGTGGCTCAAGCTCGTATTTTATCTGACCCAGAATGCCCGCTGAAAGCCACTGTTACTCTATGTTCGCTTAACTTTTTCAATTTTTTTTTACTTCGTATGAGCGTACTTTTACAATATTTTTGGTGCTTTGTAGCACGAGCCCTTGCACTAGAAGGCGACGTTTGAGTGCAAGAAGCCTGTTTTAGCTAGAGACATAAAAAAGAACACGTTTTCCCCACTGAAAAAAAAAAAAAAAACTATTTGAAAACAGTTTGGATATGGACTGGTTGTGGAGTAATTGTACCGGACAAATTGGAAATGAAACTGTCGAAATTGGTCGGACTCGAACTTTATAACTTTCCCGCTTTTACCGCGGCCTTTATCCACCCTGGATTGCACCGAGAAGCCGCCACCAGCGCAAGTGCCCGAGGCGGGGAGCCTCTCACGTGATGTTGGAAAAGCGCGGGAAACATCCGACACCCGCAGGTGCAATGCGCAGGTGAGTCAGAAGCCTGGAATGCGCCAGTGCCCCGGGACCGGAGATGATGCAGTGTCCCCGCGCGCAGCGCGGACGCCTTGAAAGGGGAGAGCTGCTCACGTGTCAGGACAGGAAGCGCGCGGGTCAATCAGCCTGTCCCTCGCGCTCGCTCGAAGCGCCAGTTTTGAGGTGGCAGCGGCGCAATTCTGAAAACCGAAAAAAAAAAAAAAAGACAACCGGATCTGGCGTTAGTGGCGCGAACTTGGGTCGCGCTGCTGTTCTGCTTGGGGAGGTTACAAGTTGCTGTGTTTAAATAAGATAGTTTGCCGGTTCCTTGAGTGCTGCCTCTGCCGGTGGTTCCTGTGGCTGATGACGTCCTCCGCCTGAGTTCCACTCGCTTGTGGGCGAAATGGCTGCATCCCAGAGCGGCGTCTTCGGAATTCGCTCTGTCCTCATTGCAGCGCGGGCAATGGCTGTGTCTGTCTCCGCGCCAGCGAGCCAGGTAAGCGGGCTCGACCATTTGGATTTATTTTCATAATCAGGATCATGTGAAACTCAACCTTGTTGCAACCCGATTTGGAACAGCCATGCTAACAATACAACCGCCAGTGCATACATTCAGCTTCAGAGATACTCTACCACAGTGGTTAACCACTGTGATAGAGGATCCTGCTGTTGCTACCCCCTTCCTGTCTTCCTAGTCTGTCGTCCGCTATGCAACTCGCAATTGCGAGTTGCATAGCGGACGACAGACTGCGAGGCAGAAAGGAGGTAACAGCAGCAGGATCTTTTCATTCTTCGGAGTTGCGTTTCGTAAAGGCTGAACCGCATGTAAGTAAATAAGCGAGCGACGAGACTCAGCGACGAGCGGCGGAGATTTCCCATGGTCGCTTGTCGCATCGCTCGGTTTTTGGATTTCTAGAAATCGTCGCTCATCGCCTTGGTCGCTCGCTTTCATGCGGTTTGCCGCGTCTCGCGAGTGACCGAACGACGGTGAAGCGGATCGTCGTCGCTTGTCTCGTGGCTTGTCAACTCGCTTACATGCGGTTTGTACTTAATCGCTGCGAGACTGCCTCTACATGTACGATTTGCACACGCTTCCATATTCAGTCTCGTACTGTTTATGATAGTGCAAGTTTTTTTTATTCGTGGCATTAGTTACATACCGTTTTAGAACAGACGGGTGCAAATAAATCTCGCCGTTGTTCTAATTACTGATGTTTTTTCTTATTTCAGATGTCTTGGGGTACTATGTTAGCCACCACAGGAAACCCGGCACTCCAGAAGATGTGAAGAACCTCGCCAACCGGCCTGGATCACATGAATAATATCATGACGATTTCTTTGCATTGTACATATGTTTTATATCTAGTTTTGCGGCCTGCAGTATGTATTTTTTTGTGGAAATAAATTGAATTTTTATTATTTACGACGTGTGTTAATATGACCCTTTAAACTTGGTTTAACTGCACGTTGAATTGCTATTGTCTAGTCAAGCTTGGGGTACCACTGAGATTCCCGGCTGGCCAAGGCCATAGTTCCAGTGGTGAGCCAGTTCATAGCTACACAGGGAACAGCCGGTGGTCGCCAGGCTGGCATACCAGGATGGGGCTGCCTAGCGCTATGGTGCAAAACAGTCTAGGCCCACTGAAACTTCCCCGGCTACCCAGTGTGGCTCAAGCCAGACTTTCTAGCCGGTCGTAGTGGGCTGCTT